GCACAGGCTGGAGTTCCTGAACGGCTGGTACATCCTCCTGGTCATCAGCGACGTCCTCACCATCCTGGGCACCATCATGAAGATTGGCATCGAGTCCAAGGTGACTGGGATGGAGCTGCTGTGGGGCCTGGCCCAGTTGTCCCCCCCTGCTCCGGGGGGGGGGACGTTTCTGTGGGGCAGGTGACACAACTGGCACCCTTGGGTGCTGGAGCTGCCAGGGGTGGTGGCAGCTCAGGGGACAGAGGTGTCCCCAGAGGGGGGTCCTGGGGGCCTGGGTGGGACCCCAGAGCTTCTGCCACCAGGTTGTCACTCAAGGTTGGCTTGTGGGCAGTGCAGGGGGGTTGGGGACAGGGTTGGGGACATTGGGGACAGGGTTGGAGATGTTGGGGACGTTGGGGACAGGATTGGAGATGTTTGGGACAGGGTTGGAGATGTTGGGGACAATGCTGGGGACATTTGGGCCAGGGTTGGGGACCTTGAGGACTTTGGGGGCAGGGTTGGAGGGGTTGGGGCCAAGGTTGGGACATTGGGGCTGGTGTTTGGGGATGTTTGGGCCAGAGTTGGGGACCTTGAGGACTTTGGGGACAGGGTTGGGGACACTGGGGTCTTTGGGGACAATGTTGGGGACACGGGCCAGGGTTGGAGGGGTTGGGGCCAAGGTTGGGACATTGGGGCTGGTGTTTGGGGATGTTGGGGCCGGAGTTGGGGACATTGAGGACTTTGGGGCCAGGGTTGGGACTTTGGGGCTGATGTTTGGGGATATTGGGGCCAGGGTTGGGGACGTTGGGGACATTGGGGCAAGGGTTGGGGACACTGGGGTCTTTGGGGCCGATGTTGGGTACTTTAGGGTCTTTGGGGACAATGTTGGGGCTTTGGGGCCACTGGGAACTTTGGGGATGATGTTGGGGCCAGAGTTGGAGACCTTGAGGACTTTGGGGCCAGGGTTGGGGACACTGGGGCCAGGGCTGGGGCCACTGGGGCCAGGAGTGGCTGTGGCCCAGGCTGGTGACCCCTGTGTCCCCCAGAACTTTGCCAGCTACGACGTGTGCAGCATCTTGCTGGGCACCTCCACCCTCCTGGTCTGGGTCGGGGTCATTCGCTACCTCACCTTCTTCCAGAAGTACAATGTGAGTCACTGGGGGGGACACTTGGGGACCCCAGGGCTTGGGGACAATGTCCAGGGCTGGGGGTGGCCCTGCCAGCCTGGCCTGGCCTGGCCCAGCACCTGGGAAGGCTCCTCAACCTTGTCCTCCAGCTGCTCCGTGTCCCCTTGTGGAGGGGACCTGGGGGGTGGTTTGTGGGGTGTCCCCTGGGGGGCTGGTGTCCCCTGGTGTGTCCCCAGATCCTGATTGTCACCCTGAGGGTGGCCCTGCCCAACGTCATCCGCTTCTGCTGCTGCGTGGCCGTGATCTACCTGGGCTACTGCTTCTGTGGCTGGATC